CGAGTCCAGGACCGCCGAAAGTCGCCCCGCCGCTTTTTCGGCGCGGATTTGCTGCGGGAGGCCCGCCCGCGCGGAGGCGGGGGAGAACCGGGTCTCGGGCGCGACACCTGTCGCATGCGCGCGGCGCAGCGGAGCGCGACTGCGACCGCGGTCGGGCCGCTTGTCGACCACTCGTCTGGGCGATTCGGGCTTTCGGGCCGACGGGCTATGACGAGAGACCGCCGCCGTCGCGACTCGTCGGCGAGGAGAATGCTAAAGCAGCGCACTGATCCCAAATGGACCAGAACAAAAAACTCAGAGCTGAAAGTCATTTGTAATGTGTAATGTTTTGGGGGGAAACACGCATTTCCTCTTTGTAATGAACTTCATTATTTGCGAAAAGTGTAAACATTGTCTTGAGTAACATTTGGATAACGTTTTCAAAAAATACGCTAGAGGAAACTATATTGTTGTCTTAAAATGAGTACGCCTTGTTTAAAAATTGTGATTTACATTTTTTCTAAAAACTAAACAAAGCATAATACTCACTTATTTGTGTGTGTTCACTGAGCCCCCATCGTCTTGCATGTTTGAGTCGGCCCACTGCGTTCCAAGCTGGCTGTCATAAGAACGGTAGTTTCATCTTCCGGTGTGTCCACCTCTTTTTCTTTTTCTTCCAGTTCACGTTCAGGACCACGTCGCACTGATTTTCAAATGGCTCCTTTGTGTTGGTCGGATTCCCTTTCAATAAACAGTTCCTGCCATATTTCAGACGCGAAGGGAATGGCGGTCTACGTGAGTTATTTTTGCCGTCGCGTGAGGACGGTTTTGTTCTTGTACCGCGTTGTATAAACTGGCACTTTATAACTTTCCACTTTGCATACGCTCCGTGCTAACAGTGATTAAGTGTGCACTGCGATTATCGATAGTTTATTGCATACTTTCTCAGTGTTGTGGTTGTGTTCTGTGTAATTTTTCCGACCTGCGATTGGAATGTAGTGTTGATGGATTAAGCTAGTAGGTCTTGAGGATACCACACTTCTCCATTATGGGACGACGAGGTGCACAGTGGTTCAAAACATAAGAAATCAAGAAAAATCGCTAATTATTTGAAGATGACTTAACATATTCAAAATATAAAGCGAATTACACTGAGGGGTCTTTGTGAACGAAAGTTAAACTCCACAATATTGTAACTCACCAGTTCTTTAAAAATGATTTGGAACAATAACGTGCTCACTCCGCCGTGCCCGTAGTCTTACTTTAAACTTCAAAACCTCTTTTGCGAATACTCTTTAAAACGGTCACCGATGAGTCTGTATTAAAACATTTATCAAGTAAGGAATCGCATTTATTCCGCTCGTCGTTCTTCCTGTAGCTCTGTGGGGCGTTCGAGGAGCGGGGCGGGGTCCCGGGCGAGGTGCGCTGTGGTCTTCCGCGTGGACGCCGGATCTGCCCCGGCGGCGGCGCCGCACCGCACCGCGCCCCACCGCGCCGATCGCCATTTGCATACAATGACGCCTGGGCCGGCGCAGCGCCCGCCCCTGCGCCCGCACGACGCCGCTCTTTACGATCGCCCTCGCGCTGCACCGCGGTGCATGCCTGTGGCGCGGCTGGCTCTACGCACGCCTCCACGCCCAGCGTCACCGGCCCGCTCTCGCGGTCTCTGGCCAGTAGATAGAGACGTACATAAGAGAAGTTCTAGCTGCGACGATAAAATGAGTTTGATAAAAACCTAAAGAAGTCAAGTATATTTTAATGAATTGTTTTGGGTTTCATGACAAAACTCATCAGTCGCCAACGTCCCCAGAACAAGTATAACGACTTCAAACGGACCTATGTGAAGCCTTTCGATTGTTTTATCCATCTATTATGCTGTGATAGATGTTGATGCGTGATTTATCAGTTTCTTTCTCTTCCTCTTAATAATATACATTATCGTGTTTTTCTTCTATGAGAAACTATTTATGTAGGGTTTGTTTTCAATTCCTGGCTAAGGCTTATTTTTTTTAAACGTGTTATTATGCTGACACATATGCTGCATCTATTATCTGGGCCTTCTCGAAATCATCATGGGAATGTAACTGCCCTGTACGTTCTTTTATTTTTGTGTATTTCATTTTTACATTTTCGTTTATTGTTGCTGCTTTACCGTGTGCTCCACTTCGTTGCTCATTCCTCGCCTCTCTCTCCACTGTTCTCTGCTGCGATCTTAGTTCTCCCCTCTGCGTTACTACTCTTCTATGGACCTAAAATACACACACACGAGGGCGCCTTATTAAATATGATAATTGCCGCAGTAAGACTTGGTTGTATCAAACGTATACCGCTCGTCCCGCTGAGGGCACGTTTCGAAAAGGCAGCGCGGGGCAATTTGAGAAGCGATTATTATCTTTCCGTTCCTCCTCCGTGCATTAAACTTCGGGATAAGACGTTAAACTAAACCTCCGTCTAATACGAAAATCTTCATAATTACGGCGCGGCGTTCGGTGGCGGAGCGCGCGCGTTGCCGCCCTCTGGAATGCGCTTTGCATACGCGATGAAGGTGGGCACTGGACGGGCAGTCCGAACGACGTACGGAAAAGGAAGAGGATGGGCGGGGGCGGGCAGGAGAGGGCGGGGCGGGGTCTGTGCCGCAGGTCATTGGCGTTGCTGGGGTGTATTTGAAACATAGCTTTGCCCGCTTATGAACAACGCAAACTTTACCTTGCCATGTGACGCACTGCCGGTATGAATAGAATATATTCGATATTGCACGCCCTCATGCTTGCATGCTGGAAAACGCCTCTCGAATATCAGTGAATTCCGTAAGTGACGAGGTCGATCTTGAGTTGTGTTACGTGGATTGCTTACTGCTAAATGACTCTGGTATGACGGATTGTCGCGTTTGAATTTAAGACCTTCGTAAAATACATTTTTTATGCTTTCCTCTCTTCATTAATGAATACAAATTCTAAATTGCGAAATGATTGTTGTATTTTGTTACATAAGGCTTTTTTCGTATGCTTGTTCTATTTGGAATAATGCTTCTATCACGAATATTTATAGATTCCTTTTTTTAGTGTTTAAAAAATATTGTTGCATTGACCATTATTAAATGACCTTCAAAACAATGTTATCTACATAAAGAGTAAACTATCATCTTCCTGTCCTAACACTTAAAGCAAAATTTTAAGTTGTACTCTTTCACTTTTAAGTGTCTTGTTGAAAACTGTATCGAAAGTAATTCAACGTTTCTGAAAGCCTTTAATATTCCATAATGAATCCAATTTGATTCATTCTTCTAGCCCCTTTGAGCGTGGAGTATTCGAAGTTCAAAGTTGATACTAGGAGTTAGTCGGGAATATGCAACAACGCAAATGTTCACAACTGGCCACAGAAACGATGATCGTATCGTAGTAGGGCAGGCTGGGACGCGGTGAGGCTGTATAGGATGGACTGGATAGATGGGACAGAGCAGTACAGGGCGGGGATACACCTTCAACTCATTCCTTTTCGTTTCTAATTTGTGATTGTGGTAAAATTACAGCTCGTTAGACATTACAGCTCGCTGTATCGCAGTGCGGTGAAGTTTGGTGAAGTGGAGAAAGATTGCGCGGTGAAATGTTCGTGTGATTTTGTAGGGTTGTAGAGTTTGTATAGTTAAGTTCTCTAATGTTAAGTTAGTGTATTCTGCCACCAAGTTCTCACACTAAGTTGCAGAATTATTAATAAATCTAAAATATCCGGGAAACACGTAGTACTAAAAGTAGTTACATATTTGTTAGTAGGAAGAAATAAAATTGAAGTGTTATTCATTGCGGGAATACAACCGTACATTTTCACGAATGGTAGTTTCTAGCTTATCTCCATACCATGTTTTTTTCATGACGCCTGGAGACAACCGAAAGAACAAAGGGCGCGAGCGAGCGAAGAGGGCAAGGGCCCTCGTGGCGGGTGTCGCGTCGGCGGCGGCGAAGGAGGCTTCTTGGCGACGAGAGGCGCCGCTGCCGCCGCCGATGAGGGGCAATAAGGAAGCGGCAATTAACGGCGGCGGCGGCGGCGACGGTGGAGGAGGAGGAGTGGGGCGGCGGTGTCGGCGAGTTTGCGTACGTTCCTGACCTCGGGCTCTCGCCTCTCGCCTCGCGGGGCGTCTGCGACGGCACAGCGCGGCCCGGGCGCACGCGAAGTGGGACGCGGGAACGCAGACCTCCCACGCCGAGGCTTCAACGCTCCGAGCAGTGGCGTCAGAAGGCATGTTCTGCCAAATAACTGCGGGCGCGTTTCAGTAAAATGATATAGAAGCTGTTTTGAATCAAGTAATCGAATTCAGTGAATTGCATTGAGGAAAGTATGCGACAGATGCAAGAAGGGGCTTTGCTGTAATATTCGCATTGGTTGCAAATGGTCGGTAGCTTCAGTAATTGAATTGGAAAGAATTCTATGGGCAGAACGTTCTGATCGGTATTTTTCGGTGGTTTCTGCGCTCAGTACCTGACGAATGCAGCTGCAGTACCCTAAGAAACAAGCCGTGGATCGCACATTTTCTTCCCTTCCTCATCCTCGATTTTTTCTCTCTTCTTTCTTCTCTCTCTCTCTCTCTCTCTCTCTCTCTCTCTCTCTCTCTCTCTCTCTCTGGGAGCTTGTGCCGCCTGGGGGTGCTCCCTGCTGGTGGGAAACACCTGGAGGAGAGAGATCCCCACAAGTCGTCGCCAGATCTCAGATTCAGCGGGGATTGAACACCATATTTTTTCACTACACTTTCTGGATTAATGGCCATAGTAGTTGACGCTCCCTGAAACCTTAAATATCCAACCACCTTTCCGTAATTAAGAAACGGAAGAAGTTCCCGAGTGGGATATTTTAGAAAGCGACATTTTTATCCTCTTCCTTCTTTTAATTCGCTGGCGTAAAATTCCCCTCTCGTGCCACTTATTAAGGGATTGTCTCCGTTTGGAGTGGGGAAAGGCGGAACATGTCTGGTTCTGCCGCGCCGCGCCCAAGAGCCCTCTGCACTCTTCCAGGTAGTAGAGTTGTGCACGATGAATGCATGTCGTGACCTCGCGTCGAAGCTCCAGGTTCTCTTTGCCAATATGCGCATCACTTGTACGCGTGATAGACGGTTGGTTAGTCCTCTGGCGTAGTATGTTAGGAGGCTTCTTATGGTATGATTGCCTGGTAACTGAAGGCTTTGTACCCTTCACAACAATGGAAAGGTTCGTATGTATTTTACAGTATCACAGGAATATTAATGTGCGATAAGCGCTCTGAAATAATCAACTTTCCACGACTGTATTTTATTGTTGTTACAATATTTCTAATATTACAAACGGTAGTCTCAGAAGATAATTGTTAAATATCGGATGCAATGTAAGTTTGTGTCTGTGAGAATGATAATATATACTGTATGCAATATATGATACTATCGAAATGCAAACTCGCCAATTTTTACATTTTTTAGCAAAACCATGTTCACGAATTTACAGTGATATCCATGTATTTGAAATGTAGAATTTCTAACTATTCTCTTTATTAAGTTGATTCGTTCAGAAAATCATTTAATATGTCCTAAGAAGGGCGGTGAATATAAAAAGATCTTTCGATAAATACCTTTCATATTATATGTAATATGACAGCTTAAATGTGTCAATTTTTTAAATAAGTTAAATATAATAGTTTTAAAAAATGCAATTCGGTTTTTCTTTTGTTAACTGAATATGAGAAAACCCGAATTAAATTTGTAAAGACTATCAGTACGAAGCATGGAAGTTACTTCTCAGCACCCGTATTGCCACTGGTTTTACCGAAGAGTATTCCCGAGTGGTATTATTAATGACACACGTGTGAAAAACGAACTTTTATTGCTTAATCATTTTACAGTTTCAAACTCTAGTATTTCTGTAAACACTTACCTTTGTGTTTACTCGTTTGCCATGTGAGCATCCTGCTTTCGCCTATGAAGTATACGTATGTTGTTAAAACTGCGGAGGAGGGGCAATTACATTTCTGACGCCCTTTTCCTTTGAAAATCTTTATTTACATATTACATATTTTACCATTAAATGAATAAATCATACTATAAAGAGAAAGGAATTATAGCGTCAATAATATAAATAAACACGTTTGATTTTGTGTCAAACGATTAATAGATTTGTCGAGTGACTTGTTTAACGTTTTCCCGGAATCCCGAATAACAAAGATTGCCAGGAAAGGTAAATCAATGATTAAACTCATTTAAGGAAATTGTTTTATTACATAAGGCGTAGGGGCCCCTTTCAAAATTTTCAGGGCCTCTTGATTCTCCTGACCATCCTTCTTCACAAGCCAGTGGAACACAACGGCTGCGTGTCAAGGTGAAAGGGTTCCGTCTCCCTCGGCCCGCTGAGAGAGGCGTACCGTGAGCGTGGTGTGATGCAACGCGGCGCCGGCGGCGGCTGTCGCGTAGAACCCTTCCCTCGACCTGGGCGTCCGCCTGACCCGCGCACCTCTCGCGCGACCTTTGCTCGGCGGCGCGCGGAACAATACGCTCCCCGCGAGGCGCATTTGCGTTCCGAGCGCCTCGGGTGCGCGTTGTATCGCCTGCTGCGACGTGCAGGGATTCGCGCAGCAAGGCAAGGTAGCAAGGAAGTCACTGGGGTTGCCGTTCGATGCGTAATTAAATGGAACTCGGTTTAATTTTATTTCTGAAGTATTTCGTGCTTTCGTTCCATCTATCGTATTGGTGAAAACTTAATACGCGTATCATGATGTGAAAAAAATGTCAACTATTTTCATTTTATTTACAAGAGTCTAAAAAAACGAATTATTGTACGTACACTTTTGACGTCGGCGATCACACCACATTCTCAAACATATGTCTGCTTGTTCTTCTTACCGATGTAAATTCCCCGTCCATATATATCGAATATAAAAGCTAATTGTGGAAAAAATTGTCAGAAGCACTGTCGAATAAATTTACACCATATTTTCTCCGGTGTTAAATCACAATAATACAAAAAAATGAAAACATTGAAGACATGAAATTTTTACTAGTATCATCGAGTGTAATTTCAAAGATTTTCAGTTGTTCCTCAGAAATTTAACTACTAGTACGGGGGAACGGGTTAATAAGCAATGCAGTTATTGCATCTTTCGAAATTTTAAGTATGTGCGACTCTTTCGGGAGAAACTACAAATCATTTACGTGATCTTGACGGAAACGTTTTGAATTTAAGCACAAGTTCTATCTTTCTTAAATAAAAGACAGCAAGCTGGAAAGGTTTTCTTTCCCATTTCTTGGAAAAGATACACGTGGAAGGGAACAAGGAGCCCCTTCATGCTTCTCTGGGGTGAATGTTATCGTTAGTGTGTTATCTTTCATGCATTGATAAAGGCGTGTGTGATATCTTCAAATCTCGTTCGATTTCTCATTACTCTTATTATAGCGTGTTCTGTTGGAAAAAAGAGCTTGGTTCTATGCTTCACATTCTATAAGGTGTGAAAGCTTCTGACGTATCCATTCCCTTTCATATTATGCAAACCAGAAACCTTCCTTTCTCTCAGTTGCAGAGTATTGATGGGGGGAATATCGTATATTCAGTGCTAGTGTACTTGATTTTCAGTTCGTGTTGAGACAAATTAGTATTATTGAAGCAAATGGCTATAATGAATTTAAAATGAATGCTTCTGGGAACTTTCTTGACTAGGTTAGGTTCAGTTCGTTTTGTATACTGCAAAATTTCAAGGTCTTTCGAAATATTCAATATAACAATGAATTAAACTTTCGTAAAATTGTTAAAAAGCTTTTATATCATTGTCTTTGATTTATCAGGATTTCCAAATCCAATTCCCGTGTGACATGATAAGATGCCCAGCAAAACACATTGGAAACTGTATTAACCAGAACAGCGCTGTCACATTATGCAAGTTGCCGACTGTACTACGGTAGGTACCTGGGCGGTGGGCGGGACCGGATGTGGGGCTCGCCAGGTGTCGAAACGGGGCTCCTGGCGCGGTCAAGGCCTCCGGTTCCGCTGCCTCCCCCGCCCCCGCCGCAACCAACCTAGTCGCCGACCTGCACCGCACGGGCTTCGTGGTGCCCTCGCTTCGCAGTGTAGCAAGCGGCCGGTGGAGAGTACAAGGCCCGATTTCAGTTTTACAGTTGTTTTTTTCTTTTCTTTTTCTTTTCTTCTTTTCCTTCAATCCTTTTTATACATGTATGTAACGACACGGTTCCAGAAAATAAGTTTCCCTAGATCGGGGACAGAATTTTGTGGAAAATCATTATTGTAACTGATGCTGCTCATGTTACACTAGTTTTCATGTAATCACCATCAGATTTGAGACCTTTCTTATGTTGTGGAATCAACAAAGAATTCTAATTAAGTACTTGAAACTTACGTATTTGCGGAAAACGTCTTCAAGAAAATAGAAAATTATATTCCTATTATTTTTTAAAATATCTTGTGTTGAAACGTTGGCAAAACACCCTACGGTAAGATGTTATAGAAAATGCGAGGAAAAATAATTATAATCAGAATTCTCGTACTACAAATGTAATCACGCCCCTATCTAACACGAAACATTGTAATTATGCATGAAATGAAAATATTCATTTTTCTAAGCTATGAGGCGTTATTTGTGAATTGTTAAGTGTGCAGAAACATCTTGCTCAGAACCCTTATCAAAGAATTCGAATTTAAGCGGTCTCTAATGCTTGAAAAACGCCCTGATGTAAGCGGGACCTGTTCGGACTCGAACTACAGCAGGGAGTCGCCGAAGAGGTGCGGGGCTTTCGTATCTCGAGTCGGTGGAGAGCAGCCGCTGCCTGCCCGCGGCGCCGGCGCCTGAAGCCGTCCACGCCGCCTCCACCGCCGCGGCGCACCAGCCTTTCGCCTTATATGGCAATGGTTGCGGTTCCCCTTATCTACCTCTGGCGCGCTCTCTCGCTCCCTTTCCCCTTCCTCTTCGCTCCTGCTCCCGCCCCCCTCCGCCGGCTGGTGCGTGTGCTCTCCCTCTCTCTCTGTCGGATAACGAGCGAAAGTGTCACTGCGCGCGTCCGCCACCAAAACGCGCACTCTCGCGGGCGTCGCGACGCCAGCGCCACGCGCGGCGACGCTGCGAAGTTCTCCCCGTACCGACGCGGCGGGCGTCTACGATGTCGGTGTGGCTCCCCGGTAATAGCTTACTGGGTGGGGAAAGTTCGGGTGCGCTGATGGAGCCGGCTGCTGACGGCGGCGTTCTCACGACCCTTCTATCTCCTGGTATCTGCGTGCGGCGAGAAAGGAAGGGTTGAGGCGATGTCTCGGTGTGGAGATGAGGGCTTTTGCAGTTACGTCCTCCGCCGGAACGGCCCTGGCGGAGTTCTGCTCGCATAAGTTTTTAGGGTAAAAGCACGTTTGTACGCTTCCACGTAGGCTTTTTGTGCGATGTTGGTAATCTCTCCTGCTTGGACATTTGTGTGCGTGAAATCTGCCAGTTTCACGATGAGACTCTCTCCACATCCTTTCTGTATGTGGGTGTTGCAGATTTGGGAGAAAATGTATTTCTAAGAGGAATACTGACAGTTGCCAACTCAACGTGATTCAGTACTTCATTCTTGCATTCTTGAACTGATACAGTGGTTTGTTTTTTTATAAACGATCATTTAGTAGGTATAGATAAATTCATAGATGCCTTTTACGTAATTAGTAAGATATTTACGTACACAATTCCTAATATATTTGTTCAAAAAATACTCGTATAAAAGATGAAATGATGGAAAAATGAACATGAATACATTATCATTCGGTGACGGCATGTGAGGTTGTGTTCGATTTTAACAAAATGTGTATATTTTCGTTTACAACCTAAATATGGAAAGTTTTTTTAGATGTTTGATGTTTTATAATTGGTTTGAGATTATTTTCATTGCCTTTCTGCCTCCGTTTCAGAGGATTCACACGAAGGCATTCATGTTTCTTACCGCTCGCCACTATATTAACGTACAAATGAAATTTTATGAGCTCCCTATGGAACCAATGTGCAGAAGCATAAAATTACAAACGATTGCACCGAAAACGTTGAGAAATGTTAGCAGTGTCACCAGAGAGATCAAAGAGAAAATAAAACTGAACTAAATCCCAATGTTATGTTACGATAAAAGAAACTTGCCCATTTTTATACTTTTTGCGTTTTTCTTCGATTACGATTAATAACTATTTTTTTACCCTTTTCCGTCAATTTCCGCCACGGAATTCCAGAGTGGGCTGTTCGATTTTTTCGCTTAGAAATTGTAATGTCAGCCAATGAATGTAATCTAAGGTTTCTTGTGACGCCTATCTATGCTATTCTGTTCGGCCTATTTCGAAATAACAAAAGACATATTTTCTGGTAAAGAACCGTCCAAACAAAACGCTGAAGGTCTTTGGAAGTTGGGTTTTCTTCAAGGAAATGAAGTCTTCATTACGTTTGTAATATATCAGACAGTTTGAGTTGTTCATCTGAACTGGTTTTGATGAAGTTATTTACGTCGTTTTTCTTCGCTTTTAGGGCATTTAAAATCATTTGAAGAGCATTTTATTGATTATTTTGGGGATGTTTTTAGTCATCTAAATCCGCTCTCTAATTATTAGACTGATGGCGTTTTACTTAATTAAAAATTTTATATTAGAAATTTTTGATTTTCTGTAAATTTCACTCTCTTCTCACTTTTCGCATTGAAAAGCATTCTTCATTTTCTACGTCATGGTAGTTAAGTTATAACAAATCTCAACCTTCTTTTCGGAAGATGTTTGTATAAGTGGCGTATAAGTGACACGGCTTGTTGGCATTCTGTATAATGTCTTCCGAACCATATAGAAACTTTTCCTTTATTAAGCTTTTGAAATTACGGAGCTACATGAATGTGGTCCTGCAAATCACGATGTTCCTGATGCAGATTTGATGTTATGGGTAATTCATTAGGGTCAAAACTCTACAAGACAGCTTTGGGACAGTGTTGACTGGCTTAATGCAGTCTTGTAATTCACGTGTGACTCTGGGATCTGCGTTGACTCACGGAGGTCTTGTTTGTGGTTGCAGGACTCCGGCGCGGGCGGGTCCGGCGACGACGATGATCCAGCGAGAAATCCCAGAAGGTAAGTGGAGGGCACCAGCCCGCAGGCGGCCATCGGTGGCTGCGTTGATTGCTTGCATTCAGAATCCTGTACACTCGCAGTCACCGTCACTGTCACTTCATTGCAGCAACTGCCATCTCTATTACCACGGTTGCCGATACCGCGTCTTGAGGGTACCTGTCATTGCATCAGCTTTCGCTTCTTGTCAGTCTTCTATCGCCGGCACTGTAATCGGCACCATGTGAAGCCAAACTCTTCGGCAACAAGATCGCTGCATGAATAGATTTAAAAATCTCCATTATTGGTTTATAGATTAGTAAATCATATCGATTAATTACATAAATTTTATAAACAAATCACTATGTTCTAGCAAACTGTTGGTGCTTGTTAAATCCAAGTTTCTTGTCACAACTGTTTACTTTTATGCGGCGGCGATAGTTTTGCCCCCGACACCAGCGGCATTTCCATAGCAATCTCTACTTCTCAGCAGTTGACGTGGCCACCACGTCGATATACTCTTGACAACGCCATTGTTACCTCACCTGTCTCCGCGGTTACTGCCATCGTCATCGTTGTCACTGCCATTGTTGCATGTGTCTCTGTCCCCCTCCCCCCGGTCCCGTCCCCGCTTCCGGCCCCTCGCCTCCGCCTCCGCCTTCGCTGCCGCGTTCGCTGTTGTCAGGTGCTGCGAGTTGTAATTGGCTTTTCCAACCCGAGTGACCGCCGGCGCAGGTTGCGCAACCGCTCGTTACACATCCGCCAGGCGGCGCGGGGCGGGGCGAGGTGCCTTGCTCTTTGCGCCGCGCCAGGGCCGCCGCGAGGCCTGCCAACATTCGACGGGTGGCTGCCGATGACTTCTTTGTTGCTGTGCTTAAATCGCCCTTCGCTTTGACATTTAACAATATTGCGGTAAGCAGTTGCTTTCATAAAACCAGAGTTGTTGTAATGGCAGTTACAGCCTGGAACATTATGAAAGATGCGCACTGATTTCAAAAGAAGACTACTTTCCTCGGGTAGATTATTACGGTTTTGTAGAATATACGGTTTTGATTGATTATTATACGGTTTTGTAGTTATATTTGTCAGTAGCAGACGTTGGTTTTCCTAGTGAACTCAGTGATGACAATTAAATGGCCTATAAATTTGATGAGTGTATTTCAAATTCCAAAGGTACAAAGGACTGATTCCTATTCGTATATCGAATGTTGTAATTACTTTCGTTTGCAAAATATGAAAAATGAACCTTTAAATGACAGGCAATATAATAAAATGTAAATGATTTGTGCTCTTGGAGATTGGACAATTTCGTAAAACACTATTTCAGGTACTATATTCATGCGATGTTTTTGTTTTAACTGCAACGGTATCTTCTGTCAGCCGTACATTTCTTTTCTTGAAATTATTTATTTGTCTTTATGGAGAAATTGCGGAACCACTATTAAGTGTCCAGCACTTTTTTTAAAGGAAGTTGAATTACTTGTGACTTACAAAGCTGCCCGGTGCGCGTGCTGTTATTTTTCTTGTTTATTTGCCCAAATGTCGCAGTGTCTGCCGGCAAATTATAAGTCGATTTGCCCCTTCCGCTGACTCGAGGAGGCAGGGACGTTGGACCTTCGCGTGGATCGTGGGCTGTTTCGCGCAAACACGCGCCGCACGGCTGGCTCTTGATAGCGCGGCGTCACCTCCGCTCTATTCCTTCTTTACGAGCACTGACCTTACATCCACACACGTTGTCATTTCCCTGACACCGATGTGTCGGGTGTTTCTAGGTAATTACACTCTTATTTTCACCTGAATGAAATGTAGTATTTCGTCAATTCCTTGCATGTCATGCGTTCGTTTTTCTTCTAAAGAGAAATGTTTTAGAAATGTAAATTTATTTTTAATCTAGAAATCTGTTATTATTCTTAAAATTTCTTGTGAGATTTCAATGTTATAGAGGTAAAAAGTACTCAAATTCAAAATACCATTACTTATTCATTTTTTACTTATTTTGAATTTATTGTAATTTCTTAGAAAATGTTAATATCTGATGTATAGCTTAGCACCTCCAATAGGAAAGTGACACAAGTGCGAATTTCTGATTTCTCAGAAATTGACATTGTAAGTTTCGTAGTTCTGTAATACTCGTTATAGATTGTACCAAATATTCACCTTCTAGCGGACAGTAATTGAACTAATTCAAAATCAACCTCAGAATAGTAGCAGTACCTCTTGGTAACCGCTTATCAGCTTTTAGCTAAAAAATGACGATTTCGCACTAGTATCACTTTTCTGTTGGAGGTGCGATGTAACGATGGTATATATAGTTTGCCTATTTGCCTATGTTAAACTTACAGGTTTCATTCTGAGCAATTATATATTACTAAATACATAGTTTGGAATATCTTTCGCGCGAATGCTCGTATTCGTTTATTCTGAAAGCAAAGTTGTTTTGTGACAGCACAGTTATCAACACAGAATTGTTCGTTTTTTGTTTCTTCTGAGAGATTGTTCCTTTTCGCGCGTGTTATCATTTTACTGCATTTCTTTAAGCGCTGATGCTGATCAACGCTGCTCACACAGTAGTTTTTCATACGAGGTGTAGAGCGTTGTTGTTGCCTAGCAGACGTTGCTCTCCGGCCCGTAGTGCCAGGATTTTCTTGCAGCGTACTCTAACGGCAACTGCCGTGCTAGGGTACGTGCAAATGCAGCGGGCGCCGCGACCTAGGGGACGCTGCTGGCGGGACTGCGGACGCCCTCTTCGATGGGAGCGAGCGGACGGGCTAACGGGAACCCCTCTGCGCGCCCGTCGTAAAAGCTGGCGAAACCCCTTGTTTTGCGAGCGGGCGGCGCGATTGCGACGGCGCGGCGCGGCGGGAGAAACGCGACGCAACGGGACGTGCGTGTGCCCGCTGCGGTGGATCCCCAGGACCTGCAGGCCGCCGCCGCCGCTGCTGCGACGCTTGCGACCTCATTCACCTCCGCCCTGCCGCATGGGGACTTGTTTCAACTTCTCCTTCCCCTTCCGCATCTTCCTTTCTTTGGTGATGATTCGTCTTCCAGTTTCTACCATTTATTTTCCCTTCTCCCGATTTTGTTGTTAATTCCGTTTAAACATTTATTTCTTCCACTGCATTCTTCTCTAAGCGACTCACATCACACATGTTTGTAATTAGAGCCTGGAAGTTCATACATTTACATAAGACTTTGACATAACTAGAGAGGAGAAAAGGCATTTATTTTACTAAAATAGGCATTCAAAAGGCCTTTTTTTCTAGCTAAAGAAGGGTCACAATACTATTACCCCTCTCTACCCGATTAATGACTCGACATACCAGTGTCGAACCGGTCGTAAGTGCGTCCTCAGTCTCTGGCGGGGCTTGCAAATGGCCGGCCATTACACGCTAGGACCATCATGAAAAGATGATTACGATAGATCCCACAGTTTGCGCTCTATCGTCGCGACGGATCGCAGTGCCGCTAGCGGCAATAGATGGTAATGCTCTGACCCCGTCGAATAGCAGGCGTCTTTTAGCGGACATCTCTCTCGCGTAGTGAAAGGTTCATAATGATATTTCTGACGTAATGCACTTCCAAATGAATTATCCGTGTACCAACTACATATATTCGTTCTTTCTGCGAAACTTACTGGTTAAGTATAGCGTAGTTGGTAGGGCGCGAAACTCATCTTCGTAAGGTTGTGGGTTCGAGTCCCGATGAATTTACTAGGGATTTTTACTTATAACTGGAGGTCGTAATGCAGAAGTAATGATAGAGTCGTGTGATCCTTACGTGTTGTTAATGTCTAAATGTCCTACCGTCTGTTTCATCCTAAGGGTTGTTCTATGCCCTTAGGTTCCATGCTGACGGATATCAAATGCCGGACACTTAAATGACGAGTACACACTTGTACTTCATTCTACAAGCTTCTGGCACAATATATTCTTGGGAGTGAGAATCAATTGAATAACCGCCTAATTTTTCAAAAATTGTTTATATGACGGTTAAATATTTGACTAAATGTATTGGATAAATTATGACATCTTAAAGCATGAGTGGAAAATATTACATTATTAAAATATACAATATTAAAAATCCTAGCTAGATAGTTTGCATATAAGTTTGCAATGGAAGCTTAAATCTGCGACTTCGTTGCATCAAGAATAAGTTAAGACTAATATAAACGCAAGTAGAAACGTTTCATATTAGTAGGAGTTACCGAATAAAGTAGCCTACTTTTCGTAATTTTTGGAGCTAAAATGTCCCTACCAAACGTTGTTTAAAACATATTCTTCTCGCGACTTCTTGGGCATTCCTCTTCCCCTCTTCATTATTTTCTGTATTTAATCCTCTAAATTTTCTTTTATTTTTTAAATTGTTTTGATAGTTTCCAGGAGTGCTTCGTGTGTCTTGTTCAAACCGCTAGCTGTCAATTTGTGAAAGTGTTTCCAATTCGTGTTAATCTAAATTATGTTTTTCAATCACGTTTTGTTTTTCTTCATCTTTTCGTTATAAGTAGCTTCAATTCAGAATTCTTCATTTGTAGAAGGTCGACCACACGGCACTTATTTCATTCCATGCTAAGATTTGTGGCACCTCTTTTCTAAATGGCAAATCATGCTTCGTATGCCAATGAATAGTGAATAATTATTAATGCGTAAACAATAGTTCAACGCAATGTTTGTTACCACGGTATTATGATCACTTATCTGTACACAAAGAATAGGCCGCAGACTATTTTATAGTGTTTGAAACTGTGCATAAATTTAGTTTATCTGAGTTTATTAGTTTGTCGCAAGCAAAATAAGAATTAGTGATTCCCTTTCGATGTTTTTACGAAAACCATCGCCGGCAATATTGAATCATGAAACATTTTTCTCGAACGTTAAAGTCCATCACCTTGCCAGTTTTTTCTCCTTTTTGCAGCCTTTCTTGCAACTTCATTTCCTTCCACTATGAAAATGTATTCCTTACTCGCCCCTGGACCTGACGCCTTTCCTCTCAACACTCGTCCGTCTAGCCTTATTGTCTTTTTTATTTACGCCCCGATTGATTGCCAGCGTCCCCAACAAAGCCTTTCAGGTCAGAGTCGGCAGCAGTGAGAAGTATATGGCATGTAATGCCGGGCGCTTTTTAGACGCGCGAATCTGGCTACTGGGTAGAGCGGCAGGCTGGGCATTGTGCTCGCAGGCGAGAGCTGTGAGCTGCTGGCGGTTGACTCCGTCAGGACTGTGTGGACTGGGTGTGGCTATTCACGTGTCTGACCTGCGATCGTGATATTTGGCGAGAACATAGATTGTTATTTCTTTGTGATCGCATTGTGAAGTTATCATCTGTGAGATTGAATTCGGAAATGCAAAGGTATTATTGAAAATGTTCAAAGGGGAAATGTTTTATTTGAGGTATACACATATTTACCGTAAGTCAGTACAAATACTTTATACTTTTCTTTTGAAAGAATTATAGAGTTTCATAGTCGTTAGTTGGGAATTTTTTTTTTAGATGGCAAACAATTACGGACTCTACAATTTAAAAAAAATACTAAGTATAACTGACGTTTAGACATGTTTTTTTATGGAAAAGGGAAAATATCAGATTGGACTGATTCCTGAATAAATGATATCTGTATGCAGTTATGAATAAGAATAACCATGCTTCTAGAGCAAGTTAAATATTTGTTTGGATCGTTTACATTATCTTCTTATAAGCAGCATTCAGGAATCTGTTGGGGGCGAACAAGTTTTTTTTTCTTTTTCCCTTCAGTGTATACGATTGTTTTCTGCGAGGACGACTGTTACTGGCGTTTGAAAGTTAATATACATCGAGAGATGTTATCGGGATCTTGTAATTGCAATCTTAGTTCAGTTGAGAGAAAATTAAATATCAACCAGTCATGGATGTTTTGATGTAATCGTAGATTTGGTTCTCAACATTCTTGACAGAATATTTCCGATCATGTTCATATTGGAAAACCTGGGAAAAGTTTCCTGAAATCCTGTTAAGGTGATGACTGAACTCTGGTTTGGTCGAGATTGCAAACTCCACAAATCAATTATCCGTTTCGCTTCTCTCGTCAATTGCGGAGTCTTAACCGCAGGTTTTTGCCGCCTTATTCTTCCTGTTTTTTTCATCTACATTTCCCCGGCGAGCGCAGGGAAAGATCTCTGGAGTGGAAGGAGAAGGAAAACGATCAAAGTCGATTTAGTTGGCAACGGGGATTCCGCTTAATTCGTTCGTCGCCCCGGGTACAAACGCAGCAGCCATTAGTGTTTCTCACCGCCCTCGCGTGACAGCGAGGGACGCGATTGGGCGCAGCTGTACGGAATCAACGGCGAGGCGCTTGCGGGCACGCTACCCGCTTATCACCCCGCTCTTTCCCGCCACGCATTCGCCGCCACACCTCTCCCGACTGCTCTTACCTCACCGCTTCAGCCCGCTCCACTAAACCATCGCTATCCGCTATCTTTGGCCCGTACGACTCATACTGCTCCGTCTCGTTCCATCCTGCCCTCCCCTTTCCATCCCCCTTTCCGTCTTTTCCTCTCTTCTTCGCCTGGCTCCCCTCTCGCCCGGCTGTCTGTGTCCCGCCCCACGAAATTCGCCTTCTCTGCCCCAACCCTACTAACTTTTCAAATTCATCCCTCCTCTTCCCCTCCTTTTCCCGTGCATGGCCTAACGATTTAACTCACCGTCCCGCCCTGCCCCGCTGCGTCCTAGCTTGACACCCGGCGCAGATCGCATTCGCGTTGCGGGATACGGCGGGGCGAATCTCCAGTCTATATTTTGCGCATTGGTCAAGCTTTCGGCTATAAAAATCTGCACTGACGGATGAATAGCCTTGCGTTGTTGTCTTTGATTTATTGTCTCTACAGACAACACTATAACCATGAAAACAAATTGATAATATATTATTTTATGCCATGTACCAGTTTCACATTACATTATATATAAAATGGCCTGTATATGTTTAGAGATACAGTGCGTATCGTGATATTTCAACGGTCATGATGGAGTCAGTCACAACCTGTGTGGCATGCAAGAACAGTCATTAGTGCATAGAGCTGCTAGTGCAGGGCAGTACGACCCTCCGTGTTTGTGCATTGAATACTCTGATAAGTCGTTGAAACAAAAATGAGTGAGTATGTATAGGAAACATAAATGTTGATGTAAAATTCGAAATATTACATTCAACGTATGGGAAAGTATAAAATGATTCTAATTTGAAAATTATGCTAAACGTTTCTGTGATTATTGGCCAAGTAAAAATTATCTGATGATGTCAAGTGCGCTGCAGTCGTGAAGCGCCGCGCTGCAAGCGGAACCGGAGCGCCCCCTTGTGAGCAGGCGACTGCGTCCGCGCCCGGGGCCGTGGGCGCTGGCATGGAGGCGCGGATGGCGCTTGCCCGACGCGATGCCTCGCGCCCTCTAATGCTCCTTGTCTGCATACGATAATCGCTCTGCGCCCGGCACGAGTAATCGCCGCGCCCCGCCCCGCCTCACACACCTCGCCCCTCCCTCTTATCCTATCCCGTCTTTTCTCAACACAGTCCGCCCAACCGCGCTTCCTCTGCCCCTGCGCCGCCTCATGTTCCCCACCCCCGCCAGAGCTTCACACATCCCTTTCCCCAACCCGCCTCGGCTACCAGGTGTAAGAGACCAGTTTGGTAATGCCAGTGTGTGGACGTGGGGTTGAAATGGAATGGGTTTAACAAACGGATTCCTCGTTGCCGACTAGAGGTTGTGTTCCAGGGAAGTGGTGGTCGAGTACTGTTGAGGGCGAATGGGAACGATTTGCATAGAAAGTGAATTTGTGCACTGTTCGTGTGTGTTAGAGGGAGAAAAAAAACGAGTTGGAGAGACAATAGATAGTTTATTGGTAGCAAGTAGGATGAAGCTCGTGTAAAGTATTAACCCGCAATCTTGATCTATAATGCAAATCTGGATGTAATGACACTCATTAGAGTGTATTCTCGACGAACACAAAATGATCACATCGGTCTTATCTTTAGTAAAAACTATCTTTGGAAAAAAGTAAGATTGGTGGAAAGAAAAAAAGAAAGGCAATTGCCTCTGCAAAGAAAGCATGTCATTATGCGTGGTGTAACATCAACTATTTACCGTTTGTTATTCTTATTCGCTTCTTACAGGAAACCAGGTTCTCGTGAAGTTTGCGGTAAGGAGTGGCAGTGTGTGTTCATGCGCATGTATGCGAGCACATGCAGTTCTTCAAAATGTTTTAAAATATTTTGTCTGTGATACGATTGAAGACAGTTCACCTATTTTTTAAGCCTTCCAATAACATGAACATGTGTGCCGTGCCACCTCTGTAGGTGTAAGGGGGATGGCTACCTGTCGGCTCGAGCGAGCGGTACCTGTCGTGGGGGAGGGAGCAGCCGCGCAGCTTTTGTTGGCTTGGGGGACACCCCAGCTCCGACCCGCGGCCTTTGTGCGGTGTCGTCCCCTGCTAACGAACCCCTGAAAGCGGAGAACTGCGCGCGGGGCGCCCCACCTGGGCTTCATCGCTGCCCCCCCCCCTCCTACTCCTACTCCTCCTATACGGGGCGCTCCGCACTTCCACAAAGGCCCTCGTCGCTTGGAATCTTTGCAGTTTTCTTTCTTACATTGTGGATTTTCCGTTCGATCTTTTGGCAATCCCCGTTTTGGGTATATCATGTTGGATATGTTATTCCTGACGTGATGAAAAGTTCATTGCAGTGGTAGTGTATGAAGCGGTTGCTTTGCTTGTTTACTGGTATCCTCTGTTAAGGGAATATTAATGGCATTGAAAATGAGCGAAAAGGATTACGTCACAGGTAGCCAAAATATGACAAAAATGCAAATATGTATATGTGAAGTTGGAAACGTGAACTACCCGTCGTATCAGCAACCCCCACGGTTTTCCGAATGTTTTAATCAAGCAGATGCGTAGCACTTGCAAAAACAGTGGCTGGGCGTAGAACGCAGCTCCGTTTTATCGGGTGCGAGGCACACCTTTTTTGTCGACTTGTGTATGTGTGAGAGTGCGTGTGTGGCGGTAGATTCCTTTGAGGCAGTGGGGAAGGAGAGCGGCGCGTCCGGATCGCATGTTTCGAAGAAGCCCTCGGGGGACCTTCTTGCCTTCCGAGGATGACACTTCTCCTTTGTGCCGTTAACCGGCGATATCGCCTCTGCTCCAATTTTTATTGCTCCGCGTTTTTATCGCTTCCCAGCGAAATATAAGAAAAATCATTCAGATTACTTGCGGAAATAGCTGCCATTGGAAATAAGGCAGAAGATTCTATTTGTAGTGTTGGAGTTATCTCGTACGTAAAAATGTACCATATGTTGTAAATTACGTCCTCCAACACGTTAGGTGGCCAGAGTCCACGTTTTGTGGATCCTGGAAACCCAAAAAGTAGTTGATGGTAAAACTGTCTGTGATCGACACTGCCGAAATTCGACGCTTTTCTCCAAAATTGATATTTTCCGATCGATCTGGCCGTACTTAAAGGCCGTGCGAGTTTGAAATTAATATTATGATTTTTGGGAGTAGTTTAAATAATCCCTCAACATTTTTTCTCAAAATCCTCATTTTATAAATAAACTCGCGTAAAACGAAGATTGCTTAAAATATGGAGCAGATCTCATTTTCATTCACATCTCTGGTTTTTCGAAATTTGCAAAAGTTACAATTAATACGAGAAAGTGAGTTGTTTTGTAGCTCCATTCGTTCAGCAGTATACTAACGTTCAGGTGACTGTAGCCAAGCAGGCGGCTCTTCCTTCCGGTTTGACTCCGCCGCCTCCGCTCCCATCCGGTCCGCAAGTACAACGCGTTTCCTTGTTCCACGAGCTCTCCCCCCTCCCCCCTCCCCGCCGTGGAACAATAACCTTGCGCAACTCTCTTCAGCACCCATCCCCCGCAACCGTGCCTTTCTCACCGCCGCATGAAACACCATCACCTTCCCTCTCGGCGAGCGCGTGGTACCTCGAGTGTCACCGCAATTACGGTCGTAGCTGCTGATGCCGTTGCTAGACAGCGTCTCTACAATGACCAGTGGCTGTGGCGTCGTTGCTGGAACACGTTAAGAAGCTTGGTGGGAATGATTCAGATGCGTTTTCGCTCCGCTTTTTTTCCACGCGTAAGGTTTTCGGCGTGCATTGACAGGTTCGCCGTTTTTAATTTTACGCAATACAACACTGTGAAGTAGAGGGTCGCATTTTATTATTTCATAACTGAAATTTTCTCAATTTTATAATGCTTATATTACACGTATATTTATATTGCATTGTGTGTAATATGCTTTTAGTGATTAAATGTTGATATTATGTTGAATTGTCTATGTGGTAACTTCATCCCCCCTCGTGGTATTAAAGTGGTGCGAAAAAGAAATTGGAAAAGGTTGGTGGATAAAAGGTTAACATGATTTCAACTCTATTGGTCATTTCACATCTGACGTCAAATCTCACACTTCTAGGCCGTCCACACTTCAGCCTCCGTGGCGATTGCGTCGGCGCCTTCTTTGTGATGTAGTGCGTGGCTATTGTTCTTCCGTTTTCGCCCGTCTGGGGAGTGGTAAGAGCAAGGCGAGAATTTTCTTTTCATTGTGCGCGCGCGCGCCGACGCTGAGAGGGAAGACTGATGCTGGGTGCACAGCGCGCGGGACAGGCGCCCGTTGATGAGGTAACGCCTCGGAAATTTCGGGCCGCCTCAGCCCCGCCCCCGCGCCACCTCCGCCGTCGCCGAGAAACAATGTAATCGTTGGATTTTATGTGCCGCATGGAGGCGCCGCGGTGCCGCTGCCGGGTCCCTTTCGTCGGCGGGAACACTGGCGCGTTGCAGCACGTCGACGAAGCAAAAGGGACGGAGGAGGAAGAAAGAAAAATAGGAGAGGGATGGAGGGAGTGAGATGCCTCTGCCGAGATGGCTTTCACATCCTCCCGCGCCGCGCCGGCCGAGGGCCGTGCGGCGCCGCCTCGCCTATCGATTGCAATCGCGCCGCGCCGCGTGGCCGACAAGTGTTGCGCGAGGGGACGGGGCGGCGGCCGCTGGGGCGCGCGGGGCCTCGAACGCGGATCCTCGCCGCTGCCAACTTTCACTGCCGCGACCGCTGATCTGCGTCGCGCGGGACCCATTGGGACATGATGGTCTGTTGCGTGTGATGTAGAGTTTTGTATTGCGGTGATGGGATAAAAGCAATACAAAGTCTGTGAGGCTTCTTCCTTTCATTAATACACGCTGTTAATTGAACAGTGCTCAATGAACTGTAATTATAATTTGTTTTAATTACAGGAGAACTTAATAATTTCCTAAAAGTTATATCCTTTCGTAGGGAGCTGTAATCAACCACGAAGCCTCCATTTCTCTATGTAATATATATTTCAGGTGCGTCCAATTTGTAAGACCTCAAGGACCAGGACCAAAACGTTTAATATGGTTGCGAACCATGTATTCATTACGCGATCCACACGTGACCCCGTCTTGTTTATTGAGGTTGGTCTGAAACGGGAAAAACCATACATGATATCAGGCCGTAACATATATAAAGCAGTGAAACACGTTGAGATGATTTGAATTTCTGAATTTATTAAAAAAACATCCCTAAATCCAAATTTATACTGTTTTTGTACTTTAATATGTATTGACCCCGGCAGAGCGCGTGCGTTAGGCGGAAAATGTTCTCGTCATGGATGCAAGGAAAATTTCACGTTTGACTAATAATCTTTGGCGCCGTGGGCCGCATGCAGGCCCTGGGCGTCAGTTGGACAACCCTGATATATTTCTACACAATATCGTTATGATTTTATCGTCTTTCATCATTTTCGACTTTTGAATTCTGTGAATTTTTTTTTATAATGTGTGCAAGAGAGGACAATATTCACTTCAGTATCATATCAATCTGAGTCATCACTTCTATGTATTCTTTAGGTACACAATCCCTGGGTGTGAATGAATCCATCATGTTTCCTAAAATTACGTTCTTCGTTAAGACTTTCACGTCGATATGATCTTTTGTGAATGTCAGTATACTCAGTGTTAAAATATGGTAAAAAAAGGAGAGTAAAATGTATAAAAATGCATGTGTTACCGCAATGCACGGCCTCGAATATCATGGAAATGTGATTTCAGTCCTTGGCATTTGATTCTACATTTGATTCCGCAATAAAGGCTTACGCCATTTGCTCAAAATCCAAATGACGTGTTCGACGAGTGGAATGTAAATCTCCCAT